AGAGGAGCATATAGGTGTCCAGTTTTTGTATGCATGATATAGTGACATGGTATAAAGAATAGTTGTATAGGACTGACATTTGTCAATCAGTCGACTGCACGATTTCTCCTTATAATTCTTTATAGCCTTATAGCTGTATTTTGTGTAGGGCATGATTCTCTGTGCATTGTTCTATACACTATATATTCTGTATTACTTTTTAATTGATCGATTTAGTTTCATTTTATAATATGAACATTTACATTTGAGGTTCATATCCAATAATCTAAAATACTTTCTAGTTTTCACCATTTGCTACAACTCAACTCTACTAAAATATTAGTAGTTATAAGTATGTATAAAGACTAATAAATGTCGTTTATTCTTTATTAATGTACTAATATGCTGTAAATCTATTAATTTAGTCATGTGACTATCAATAATATACTACTGTTTTACTTTAGATCTATATCAAAGTCTATTTAATCTTATATATATATAATTAGTCACTGTTGTCAATGCAGGCTTCTCAAAAAACTATTTGACTGTTTTTTTTCTTTGATCGATGTAATTTTGTGGTATGATTAGGTATTTGCACAATGCTAGTAGTATTTTGTGTTCAGCACAACTATCAATGTAATGCAGTGGTTGACCATTTGTGCTCCATTGTATTCATCTAATAAGTCATACTTTTATATATAAATCTATTGTACTCATTAAAGTTTAACTTTTTTGTGTATCTATTTGTATCACTGTTGAGTTACGCCCCTACATTGGTTGGTAGTAGTAATGATATTGTGAATAAGTAGTATTTGTTGTAGTTATCTTGTTAAGAAAAGAAGAAATAATTAAACATTATCATAATTTTTGGTGACAAGTTTAAAAGTAAATAATGTGATTACTCCTTCACTAATAGCTTTTGTGTGTCAAACAAGAACAAACTGATTAACAAATGTTTATCTATTTTACTCTCATGACAGTACATTTATTGCCAAAATGGAATAAGAGCAAAGAATGCACAATAAGATATTCCTATCGTTTTAAATAACATAAATATTTATCTCTTATTTTATCTATAAATGAGTAAACACAAATTCTCTCTGTGTGTATCTATATATTCATCGATTTATTTAGGTTATACAAGGCACTCTTAATAAAGTCGTCTACTACTACTACTACTACTGACAATGTCTTCAGTAGAAAATAAAAGTTGAAAATAAATATAAGATGGATTATCGTCTACCTTTCTGTTTGTATTTTAGATAATAACGATGTGCGCTCTTAATAGGACTCATTCACCAGATAGATATAAGTCCGTTTATTCAGTTTCAAAATATATTTTATTTTTGTGGAATCTTAGTAATCCTACTACTCTTCTTTCCAAACAGAAGTAGGTAGAGTAATGAAGTTCAATCTTTTAAACCTACTGATTTAGAGCCGAATACATGAATCACTGCTCCAAATTTTTGTCAAGAATCTAGACATTTTATTCGTAAAATATTTTATAAAGCATATATGTGTCTGACCGCTGCTTTCGATTGTAATCGCCAGATTACGGTGGTCGGTCTTTTATATATATGTATATATGTTGTGTTTGTTTGAGCTGGTTCGTTTGATTGCGAACCTTTCACTTTACTTCTAAGCAAAATCAGGGTTTACTTCACGTAAAGTGGACGTTTTAGTCAATACATAATTATTCACCCTGATAATTTTATCGGCAATTTGTTGTTTTCAATGGTTTTATCATCCGTTTACCTTTGCATTCCTGTTGATCAGTTTGTTTTGTTGACTCTTGATTCGTTGATTTTTTACGCATAACCAGGTGATTGATCTCCATATATCTGTGCTTACTGACCAAACATTGACCTGATGTAACGCTTCCAAAAATATCCCTAATCCACCATTTTAACGTTTTTTTTAATCGAATTCACGTCTGTTATTAATATTGGGATAACAGCTCGTGTCGTTTCACTAACAATTTGTGTTCATGTATGCCTAAACGGAGGAGGTTTCTATTTTGTCCAATAATATTTTTAATCTATATAAAATTCAATAAAGCATTTCCGTTTGTCTGTGATATGATGAAATATCTTCGACTCCTTCTAAGCCCCTTACAGCTTCCTCGAGTTCACTCGTGGTCCGTCGTCACACCTCCCCCCTTTAAAGTCTATTGTGTAAGACTTTTCTCGGATTCACCTGAAACTTGGTTGCCGCATTCCTTTTACTGTCCATCACTGTCGAGGGTTATACTGCTTTGCCCTTGCGTCGTTTGTCTCTTTTATGTTTGCGCTCCTGAGGGCTTTTCTGAGATGCATCCACGAGCAATTGGAATGGGAGTCGGCTTTCTGGGACCACTGTACTGTCGTCTCTTTGCAATTGATTTGTGTTTTATACATTTTCCGACACCTTTCTGGACTAGGTACAGTACATTTCCGATTCGACGTTCTATGACACCTGGTTCCCACTATCTATTACCTTGATAGTATTTGACAAGTACCTTTTCACCCACCTGGAAGCTACGAGTGACCGTACGATACTCATTCGTAGGTCTATTCGTCTTTCTGGGTGGCAACATACTGTTAAAGACTGTCCGGATTTTCCTTCCGAACATACACTGGACTGGTAACTTTCCTTCTGGTACTGCCGGATTGGGGATAACTCTGTAAGACATTAAGAACCTACTGACCACTTGTTGTGGGATACCCTCACCTACCCCTTTGACCAGAGCCCTTTTTATCCTATCGACGAATCTTTCTGCTTGGTCATTCGACTAAGGATGGTACGGAGGAGATTGTAGATGCTATATGCCATTTTCACTGCAAAAGCGGACGACATAAACTGAGTACCGTTGTCGGTCACTACGATTTCTGGGACCGCGACACAAGCAAACAGTCCTGACAACCTTCTTATTGTACTCTCTGATGTCGTTTTCAGCATGTCATATACTTCTGGCCATTTTGTGAAAGCATCGACAACAACTAAGTAATTTCTGCCTTGTATTGGTCCTGTGAAATCAGCGTATATTCTTTGCCAAAGCCCGTCCGATTTTGGCCAGGGTTGTGGTTCAGCTTTCGTTGGATTCTTCGCAGCCCCTGGACAGGACCAACAACTGCGACATTTTTGTTCTCAGTCTGGAGGAATGAGTTAGCTATGACAAAATGGTTTATTGGTGTTTTATTTCAATTTACATACTGGCTATATCCAGTTCATAATTAGTTATTTATTCTAACGATAATTAATACATGTGTAACCGAAACACTGGATTCTTATGATTATTGTGTTTTATTTACTGTTATTTATATCATATTTGTCAAAGGAGTTGAATAATGCTCATGCACTCAGACCGAACGGGGTGATTCTCTTCATGATCAACTCCCCCTAACCCAAAGGTCTAGTTCACAAAGTGGTGAAATGGTGTCTGACGTCTTGGTCGGATTGTAGGTAGTGATTCAAATATATCATTTGCTTCCATAGAATTCCGCACTCTACTGATTTGGAATTTTAATTTTCCAAATCCTTTAGATGGATCTTCCTTATCCATCAACCGTGTCCACGTGACATCCATAAATATGACAAATAATTTTAACAGAATTTATCCACTTGTTCTGCTTCATTACAATCTCAAAAGATAAATATTACCTATTTAATTCAAGTGTTTTCATTTGATTTTATGCCACACTTCTATTCCTTCTAATCCCAGCCCCGTGTTTACGTTTATTTTCCAATACACACAGCACCTCGTCTGTGATGGAATTTGTTTTTTGTCTAAATAAACTTGAGTGGCGAGACTATAATTTATGAACAAACCAATCAGGTATAACAGATTTTGGCGCGAAATTTGTTCATCAATTTGGCAAAATAGGGTTTTGGTATTATAGCTGATGTCAGCTCGTGATTAAAGCCCTAAATATTGTTCCTAACCTTAAATTCCAACTGTAAATCACTATTTGAAGTCCTCACACAGGTTTATAACCCTCATTTGGTCCTAGTTTTTAGCTGGCATTAACTAGGTCACTTTAGCGTCGCTTAAAGGTCGTCCATAAATTATAGTCTCACCACTTGAGTTACTGACTGACCGAATTTGAGAATACTCTCACCGAATGTGATTCCTGATACAGCTCTTATAAAACCGTGTTTGTCACTCAAAGTGGCCTCGTTTAACGTTCGCATACTAATGCAGATAGAATAAAATATAAGTTTGACTATATCCTTGGGAAGTCTTGACATCGATGTATTCTGTATCTCAAAGACCTGTATTCAAGACTCCATCGAAGTAGTACATATTTGTTCTCAATTTGTCGCTTAGAAGTAAGTATTCACGTACTGGTATATAAGTGTGTAAGTCTGACGTTTGTTTTGCTGTATCCATATGAACTGTAACTATGTCTTATTATGGATCAGGCCTATTTATTATTCCGTGGTGACCAAACATCTTGTTGTAAATGGACTGATGTAACTTTTTTTCAATTTTTCAGCCTGGACACTAGTATAAGTCCACTATCCCCTAAATAAGCAGTGTGATTTCGAGCCTAGTAACTCATACACCTAATACAGTTCCATGAATTCGGAACACATTTTGTATGATCTTGTGATGCTTTTAAACAGCTGCCAAAACCGGTTTGTATATTCGAGTTTTTAAAAGCTGATTTTGAAATTACTAAGCTAATATATCACTGGATATTTGTTTGTTCAGACCTTGCATATCAATGATTCTTAGTTAGACAGATCTTCAGTAGGATTAAATTTTCTAGTGACCTAATCACGCAGATACCAAGGTAGCTAATGAATAACTATGTTTGTAATCAGTACATTACTATTTTAATTGACTAAATCTTTTTAACGCATATCATAGTTACTACAATGATTTAGTGTTTTAAGTTGATTTTTTTCCTCAAGACGAACTTGTTCTCTCTCCTGAAATATGGCGGTGATGGTAGCAGTATTCATAATTTTCACTTCTATGTGATTGAATGTATAAGACACTTATTTGTTATTGTGTATATTTTTTAAAAAAATTGTAGGCAATCGATACATATGAGAATTCCGAAAGAAACATTGTTACACTCGATCGGCAGATTAAATCGCGTAAAGGTAAATTTCCCGAATACGGTTCACTTATTTCACCTTTTAATTTACTATATCCTTATATTGTGTAGTAGTAGTCGTAATAGTAGAAGATGGGCTGACTTCTCAAGATCGGTCAATATACATTAGAGAACAAGTCTACCAGGGTTTTCAATTTGATTGTTGTTAGTGTGTGCTGGAATGTTCTGCGATGAGGTATTCATTCGTGTACTTGTCTTGTTTAAAGAAACACAACATCTAACCGTGTTATATATATAACTGAATGTTTGGCACTAATATGCATCAGTTGACACTGTTAGATATGAGTCAAATCATTAATGGTGTATGTAATAAAACGTACATCGAAAATAAAATTTGTTTATGGACAAGAGAATAAAAGATTTTGATATTTGCTGTGTAATTATCCAGTACAATCACCTGTCAGCTATCAACCAGGATGTGTGCACCTCAATATGGTTTATTTTAAAAGGTGTCATTCACTTCACAAAATGAGATCATATCAAATTTTACTCAGACTATTCAGGTCCTTTCAACTTTGAACATTTGTCATTCGATTTGAGTACCCAAATAGTATTCCAGCCCTCACCTAAATCCAGTGATTTATATGGTGCCTCTTTTTACCAATGTTTATATGTTTAAATGAATAAACATTCAGTTTAGGCATGAAATACTCTTGTTTATTTTTTTCTTCACAAAGCTGAATTATTAAAACAACGAACTGAAAATGAAAAATTAAAAAAAGAAATGGAATTATTTTTCAAAGAGATGCACGATTTCTGATGATAATAATAACAATAATCTCTCTCTTTCTCTTTTTCTCTCTCTCTATTCACATATATTAAGATTGTTATTAGTTTATATTGTTTTTTTTGCATATGGTCCCTTAAACACTGACATCCTATGTGTTAGCTTTCTTGAAAAAAGAAAACTGATTGTCTATGTCTAAAACACAGTATTGATCTATTTTAAAATCTAATTCCTTGACGATACCATTGTCTGTTTGTTGGTAAGTTTACTTAATGTTCAGTGTTTCTTTTCAACTTTCACAAAGCAAAATGTATTTTCTGATAATTTTCCACTTTATCAAAGAATAATCTTGTTCTCTATGAGAGTAATAATAACAACAGCAACCATAACCTTTTTTTTTTATTTCATTTCTACTCCTTAACTGATATTCTTGTAGTTATAAGTTTATTTTATAAAACATTCTTTCCATATTATGATTATGATTATCGTTATTGACTTGTAAAATGATTTATTTATTTTTTCTCTTTCAAATAAACAAATTCTAATACCTTTTGTTGTAAGATTCAACTGTTTAAGTTCATTTCTATCTCTGTATTTAATTTGTCATATGTAAAATGAGAATTTTGCACTAACAACAATCTTTAGTCTTAAATCCTAAATTTAATATATAATTTAATTTAACATTGCTAAATGACTTATATTCGTTATGTCTTTCAAGAAGGTAAACTGAATAACGAGAAACCCGGTCTTATATGCATATGTTTGTTGTTTTATCTATACTGAAGAAAAAAAACCACAAGGCGATAGTTGAAAAGTGAACTGGCGCTTCGTTGTTATTATAATCAAAGTTCAAAATTGTATTCGTAGTACGATGTGAGCTGAACAGATATATAATTGGTGTAGGAAGTGGATTGTGGAAATCGTAGCATTTTCATGGTTTCAATCACAAACCGATCTTAGCTAGACCACAGTGGAAACCTAGAAGCACTAGGCAGCTGTATTGGTTTTATGTGGTATCCTTTAACAATGCGGATTTGAGAATCAAGTCCAAATCTTTCAGTATCGTGTGCGAACGCTAAACCTTCAGACCACAGAAGTGCTAATATCTTACTCCATTGAATGGGCAATATTGCACAACTCTTTTTCTTTCGGTGATTAACTGTCTCACTTTGATTGAACTCTGCTGGTCTCTAGCCATCTAGTGCTTCCTGGCTTCTTGGTGACTCAGCTGAGATCAGTTAGTACCTTACCAGTCGAGTCAGAGCTTATGGCTAACTGTCATCTGCTTTTGCAATCTCAAATGGCGTCCGTTAATGCTGTTCACTATCTCCATTTTTGTTTAACTTCATCATAGATGTACTGATGGAAATAATATTCTCGGGTATTGATCTCCATCCAAGGGGCCCACTTATCGACTTAGAATACGCAGATGACATAGTTCGGAATTCATCTCCCCCCTCTGATAAATGTGTTGCTTCAGAACTGACCTACGTCAACACTTGAACTAAGGGTAGGGAGTGAAGTAGTCGAACGCGTTGACAACTTCACTATTCCTGAAAGTGATCAAACGTGATACTTTGATGTCTGACGAAATCTCTACACGGATTCGAAAAACTCGTTTGGCTTTTGTCAACTTACGTCACCTATGGGTTGAGTATACTGCTCAGCAGTTCGTTCTGTTTTACTTTACGACTGCGAAACGTGACTATTAAGAGTAGAAGATACTCATAAGCTATTAGTATTTGACCACAGATACCTTAGAAACATTGGTCGCATCTTCTGGGATCACTGGGTAAGTAATAGTAAGGTTAGACACAAGGTATTAGGGAATGATAGTAAAACGGTTGATGAGGTTGTGAATCTTCACTGACTGAGATGGACGGGCCTTGTGTTGCGTATGCCTGAACACCGATTACCACGAAGTGCAATGCTAACCAATGTTGGAGATGGCTGTAAGGACGTTAGGGGCGGCCAAACCAAAACGTGGCATTAGTGCTTGAATTCACTAACTTCTAGTCTGAACTATGTTGGCAGGTGCAGACTACTTGGTTGGGGTCCGCGTGACTATCGTAACGAATTGTTAGAGCTTTTGTGTGACATGGCTGAGAATTGATCGCAATGGCGTAGGTGTATACACTCTTTGTCTTCACTTAAACCATGAGATTACAATTGCTTTATTCTTGCACCATATCCTTTTTCACAATCTCTCTTTTGTATGTTACTACCAGTGAAGTAACTAATTTTATGAATTCGGTGTTCATCTTGTTGTGCTAATGAGCGAGGTATGGCAACTTGGACCGATGCGCATATATGCCTGGTCCCATGTTGTAGCTGACTAACTTAAACTGTGAAGGTTTATAATTGCCTTTTCTTCGGTTATACACAAATATCCCTGTGATCTGAAATAATGTGTTTGTTATGTCCACCTCTATTCGGACTACACGTGAATAACATAAGCCTCTATACATTTTTAGTTGATTCCCCAATATTTTTATCCTTCATTCCAGATATTCAACACGTGATCTACATGACATTGGAAACTGTCATCTTGTTTACGAATGATGTAATAGTTAAGAATAGTTTTAAAATGATGTGAAACGATAACTTGATTCTAGAATTTCGCGAGATTCAGTCTTAATGTTAGATGGGAATATATGAAGCAATATCCAATGAAAATTATCAAAAACATTGATTCAGCCTCGAATTACTGTCTTCCCGATCGGTATAAGTAAACACTATGTGGTTTGAAGCTTTGTTTTCAAAGATACTTGGAACTGACGTTCATATTAGCATTTTTTCTTAGATTCCGGGTAATATAAGGCTAGTATATTCATCGGATTTTTAACCACGTCCCATCTAATATCTACTTCAATATCTATCTGGTTTAATTCAATAAGACCAAGCCTAAATGAGCAAGTTGGAGCAGGATGGATAATAACGAGACAACACACCAAAAAGGCGATTCATTATATTAATCGAATAATTATAAAAAATTAGTAACAAGTGTCAAAGGGATAAACACTAGTGGGAGTGGGCGCTTCGTTTTGTCAGTATAAGATTGTGGAGCTTGTCGAGTTGCATTGAGGTCAATAAATCATCAATGTTAGACCATCATTGAAAACCTGTTGGTCTAGCATTAATTGGTCCATGATCTCAGTCAAATTCGTTTTGAAATAATTCATTTAGATATTGATTACATTGCAAGTGACAAAAAGTGGCAAAGTACTTGACTGTGTGGCGGCCCGTAGTTTTGTCGTCGCTTAAATCGGACGATGTTCGTTGAAGGGCTCACCAATGTGACGGCCCGTGATCTGACTCCAATTCAGATTGTATGAGTGTTTGCTATCGCCTATTCTCGTATATCATTGTCGACTTAGATCGCGTTATCCAATAACGGAATTAAATAAGTCGAATAACGAGAATTGACTAGACAATACATATATTTCGTACATGGAGCGAATGAAACAGAGCCAAACAAAATGACGCACAGGGAAGATGGCTGGGAAGCCAACTCCTTTTTAGTCAAGAGTTACTCCATATTTATAGGTTGACAAAATAAAGCTACAGACATGTGATTAATGCGATAAGAAGGGCACACACATATACGCTCATATAAAAACAGTCAGGACTGATAAGCGAATAATTGACAAGGTCAAAATATGGCTCAAGTAAAATGAATTAAATAGGATGTCCACAAGTTAGAATAAGGTAGATGGGCTTGCCATAATAACTGACGCTACAACTGAATTGTAGCTGGTTATTTGAAGTGAAAGTATGAATATACATAGAAAAACTAGTATTTATTTGTTCTACAATAGATTATTTCACCAAACTCTTGAAATAATAGGATTATAAAGAAAATCAACAAGTAACACTTTATTTTGTACACGTCATTCGATGTAGATTAGAATACATTAAACAAGGTCACCGAGTTCTACCACACAAAATATAAAGTTGCCACAGATAAGACCTTAGGTAGGTACGAAAGAGTAATCATGAGAATATAAGTTCAGGCAGCTTCGTTAACATAAGCGATATATCAGTCGAATATTGATTTCTGTCCTTGTGGCATAAACCGTATTCGGATATAGCAAACAATCCGACCAGTACAACAGTGTCACTGAATTTCCCCCACTAGATACGAGTTCATTGGATGCAATAAACCTCTGGTATGTGTATGAGATGATCATGAGTGGAAGGGATTTTCTTTGAAATCATTGTGGATCTGTTCTGTCTTTACGTCAGTTGGTAACATCGACGTTAACGTCATTACTGAATTGGATAGTCTAATGAAATCACAATTCCCCGTACAGTATTTAGAAAAAATCAAGTCATTACCAAGTATTTTTGTAGAGACCAACAAGATATGACCTAATCACTGACACCACTCAGACAAACTTATGGAAATTCACTGATACTCTAAAATATAGTCTCAACTACAGTGAATTGAAAGCAGAACAGTTCGTTGCGAAATTCAGCATCACCATTTAAAAAAGAAAATTAAGATAGGACAGCACCATTTTTTAAACTAGTCGTCGATTATGGAGGCACATCGATAGTATACTATTTACGCACAATAACACACAATGAAAATTGTACATTTAAATATATTAATCGGTGTTATAAAAGTTGAGACTTATTAGGAACACTTTCATCTTTGTTGAGTCTATAATATTTTTTATTACGTTCTTTTCGACTCTCTCAATCAAGCGTTCCCTTATTGCAGGATATTGAGACGGCTATGATAGAATTACTTAGACTTGTTTACGTCATTTTTATTAATCTTTTTTTGACATTTATGGGTTACGCCAGGAAGAAATAAATTCATGAAAACATGTCAGTAACAAAAGTCTAGGTGGTTTAACCCATTCAACCATGTTTAAGGATAATAGCTGAAAGTTCAAACAGCCATAAGTAGTCTTAAATATGTTCATAAGGTTTGGAAATCGCTGACCAATTTTTCATTGCAATGTTCATGAAGTCCTTGTCACATTTAAAATGGCTGTCAGTAGACGTTCATTATTAGTGTACTTGAACAGGGTTTTTTTCGTTACATTTCAGTGGTTCATTAATGTTAAAATTAGTAAGAAAAATGACCTGAGATTATAAAACCCCGATCGATTATATACGTTTCTCGATTTTTTATCTCTTGAACTCTGACCTTCATGGACAGTCCACCAACCAGAATAGTAGGCAGAATAACCATGACAACTGAAGTTGCATTTTATTAGGACTGAAATAACGGGTGTGCTTTTCGCTCTTTGTAAGCGTCAGCCAAATATACCTGCGCTCATGGTTGAAGTTCATTCAAGGACTCGAACTTGGTAACGTTCTCTACAAACGGTATCTCATTATGCATGCGGCTACAGAGTTCAGATAGCCAATAGCTTGTGCTGTAATAGTCATGGCACTCAAGGAAGTTTTTTGTCTTTTGTAAAAGCAATACTTAGACATCACAGCATAGTTATCGATTTTATTTAGCGGTCATAATAAAGACAAATTGTGAAAGACTCCAATAACATTTGTCGTTTCACTAGAACTAAGAAGCTGTACTTATAGTCTGGGGTTAGGTTCAGTCTGGCGGTAAATAAATCATCAAAAGACATAGTTCTGTAAGTCTTAGTCGCGAATGACAGCCTGCTTGAATATCTGAGCTACTTGTTCCTTCCATGTAGATACTTCAACAAGTTAGCTTTTTTGTTTGTTTCAACACATCATTATGTCTACTAACCGCTTAA